GTCGACGCCAGAAAAGAAGTTAAAGTATAATTATAAGGAACCCGCTGTCGGATTCACTGAAAATTTTTGCACATAGCGCCCAATTTTTACCTAATTTGGTGCTGCGCGGTAAAAGTACCTGATTTTCTAATGTTGTTGAGGAAAAATTTGAGTAAAGCACGGTAGAATAAAGCCTAAACAACGAGCTGGAGTCTTAGAAGACAATAGATCGATCAGACAAGCATTTCTTAGGCTATGCACATTGTCTTAGAAATTTGTGTCGGTTTGTTGTTTCTTCATGGGGAAAAAAGCAATTTCGGTATGTACGGTATGTTGTTTTGTTATGCGGTATGTAACGGGTATTTTGGGTATCTGATGGATATTTTCGGTATGTTGAGTGCTATCTGTAAAGAAAAACAGTACTATGTTTTTTTTTAAAATAACTTTTGATAGAAAAGAGCTAGAAAGCTTCTGTTTTCACCATTCGAAAGAGGAGATATGGAGGCATGTTTTCATAACCAAATTTTTCTCATCAGAATTTTGTGAAATAGGTTTTGTATGGAGTTTTTGGAAAATTAGGCCGTAATCTGCCACTAGAATTTTATTGATTTTTTTCCATGAACTGATAGCCCGAAATGTCCTCTATAAAATGAGAGTCAAGTGAGACCTTGATTCTGCGCAGTCCGGGCGTTGTATCGGATTTTGTACGAGTCTCAGAAGTGGCACCGGTGACTATTAGTAGCCTTGAAGATCAATAGACTATGGATAATCCGCTATGCTGAGTCTTGTGACAATGTTTGCTTTTAGAAAAAGTTTTAAAAATCTACCGAAAGTGAGTTTTATGAAAATAGGGTTTTCAGGCTGTTTTCTCCTAATATAAAAAACTTCACTATACGCTCAAAAAACATCAGAACAAGTTCAAAACTTCTGTATGCAAAGTATTTAAGCCATTCTATAACCTGTTTTTCAGAATTTTTTAAAAAACTCTAAGGTTTTCGAAAAGAGCTTCCGTAAAACCTAGTAAGGAAAATATATCTTTTCGATTTTTCGATCTTATGATCACGTTTAACGAAAATATTAATCATATTCTGAAGTTTTGAACTCGTTCTGGTGTTTTTTGAGTGTATAGTGAACTTTTTAATATTAGACGAAAACAGCTTGAAAACCCTAATTTTTGTAAAATTCGCTTTCGGCAGATTTTTAAAACTTTTTCTAAAAGCAAACATTGTCACTAGGCTCAGCATAGCCGATTATTCATAGTTCATTCGTCTTCAAGGCTGCCAGTCCTGAGACTCGTACAAAATCCGATACAACGCCCAGACTGCGCCGAATCATGCTCTCACTTGACTCTCACTTTTGAGAGGACACTCCGAGCTATCAATTCATGGAAAAAAATTCAGTCCAAAAAGACCAGAACTCCGTATTTCTCGTGTGTGACTGGTATGTAAGTATTTTTGGTATATGAGTGGTATGTACTGGGTATGCGATTGGTATGTCAGCGGGATTTTTTTCGGTATTAATACTGCTTTTTCTCCCATGTATTTCTCTACACTAATTTCTCTTGACTGTGTCTCAAGTCACTATTAAACCTATCAGTACGGATAATGTCCAATGTACAAATTTTCAAACGACTAAAAAGCATTTTCGGGTTTGAAATTATTTATATCTCTGATACAAATCGGTATGTTTATTCTGTTTTATTACACTAGATCGATTTGGACACTCTTATAAACTATGAATGTTATTTGCACCTGATATAAAGGTGAACTGAAAATAATTAAAAGATAAAAATCTTAGTTATGTAATCATAATTAAGAAAAAATGATTCAATTGTTTTTTAAGATGAGAAATTTCAAAAGATAGATAATGAATATACAGATAGATACAAAACACCTTTATCATAATGAAAATTATGGCTATTTTCTGTTAGAGACATTTCGTCATTATTCAAAAGACATCATCAGTCAAATGCGACACTCGATAATTGATTCTGAAATCGGAAAAATAAGAAATAAAAGAAAACACAAGTATGTAGAACACAACATCGAACACAATTCGAGGCATATCGAGTGTCACATTTGATTGATGATGTCTTTTAAATAAAGACGAAACGTGACGAATATAAATCCGGGGTATTTAAAGCATGCATTGGACTACCCCAAGGTAGTGCACTGAGCCCATATATTTTTATTATTTTTCACAGTGATATAGTAAACTATATAGGAGCCTTTTCATCCCACATCTTTGCAGACGATTTAAATGTTTTGATAGCCCCACCAATAATGCGTAGCATACCATCAATGACTGAGTTTTTAAATGTTGAGGATACAAAATTGTGTGAGAGAATCTTTGAATATTCCAAAAATTGGAAACAACTGATTAATATAAATAAAACAGTAGCTCGGGTTTTTCGTTCACAAGTGAAAAAATCGATAGCTGAGATCTTTATGGATGGGAAAAAAGTCGAAATTGTTAAAAGTTTCAAATACCTTGGATTTACACGGACTGACAAGCTCTCACTGAAACCGACAGTAGACCATTGTCTTGAGAGCATAAAAAATTTTTGTTAAACTTAGGTGGTTGAAAAGAAATAAAATTATCTCTACTGACGTTCTTCACCTTTGTTTCTTTGCTTACGCTTTTCCTTTCTTTACATGGTTATTCCCTTTTCTCCCGATATTACCGGATACACAAAAAGAATCTCTGTATAGCAATTTCGCGTCGGATTGCGAATCGTGCATCGCTGTGCCGGGATTTCAGCGCAAGATATCTTTTTGTCAACTAACGAAAAAGATCTCAATTTTTACTCCAAAAAACTACTACCTTCAAAAAAGTCTCTTGAACGTCGATCGGACTGACTTAGGCCAGTCTCTATTCTTAAACGATATGTTCTTCTGTGATACTTTCACAAATAATGGAAAGAACTCACTAAACATCGGTCACTTCTTTCAACAAAATCCGGTAACCAAGATGAAAAAAAGGCATTCATCTTTACTATTAGACTGGTTGACGTTTATTGATGAACACTAGAGGGCAATAAAAATATATAGAGTTGGCTATTTTTGTTTTAATTTTGTTCTTTTCCCGCTCAGACAGGTACTAACTATTTTAGCATGTTTTGCAATTTGTGATATATTTAGGTATACCTGCGTTTTCTTTTTGTGGATGTATGTTTGTGTCCGTGTCGTTCGTGTTTTCTTACTAATCTTATTCCCTTTCAGTTAGATTATTTACAGTTAACCGGCTGACCCCTGAGTCAGCCGAGCCCCTGTGCTATAGCACAATTACCACATAGGATAAGAAGGCACTGTTATAATTTGATTTATCTCTTTGACTGGATACAGTGTGGCAATAGATGAAGATATGTGGTCAAAAACAGCTAATCGGAGCTTTAGCTTTTTTTCATTTACAATTGTTTCACACATTTTGTCAAATTTGTTGAGAACTGTTTGTACACTATTGACAGAAAAACTTATAGCCAATTTAAATACCTGAATGTGCCTATTCTGCTCAAGTCTATACTTTGACGTGTAATCTATTGCGTTTAAGATTGCGTCATAGGTAAATTCAGTTGCCAAAATTACGTCATCGGTAACTTCAAAACTAATCGATTTAAGAATAGAGTTTATGCCATCGGTTGTATTCCTACAAAATAAAAGATTATTCTCACTTACATTTAGATAATTTGCTATGCCGAGTCTGTAATCACGCCATAGTTTATAGCTTATGATGCAAAACCAAATATCATTGTTATGATCGGAATAAGAAATTTTTCTAGCTAATATAACCCTTCGTATAATCAAAAACAAAAAAAAAAGATGTCATGTCTTCACTTGCGCGTTGTTTAACATTAAAAAATATCGACCTCCTAGATCCATATGATATGTAGTTAGGCTGAAGGGATTCAGTCAACTTTATGTCCTTGAAATAGAGGAATGAGCATCCGCGCGGTGACATGAACCGTTTGTTGAAGACTCATTCACACACTTTACAACCAATATAGACAAAGAAATGATATGGTTAATAAAAATGGAAATAGTCAGAATTTATATGACAACTGTAATTACAATTATGTTCGGCATGATTCTTATGACGTACAACAGGCACAGTTTACGGATCTAGTAGTAACTCATCCAAAAGATGTTTTATATAATGGAATGCAACAATGTTTTAATGTCCAAAATTCTCCAGTCATAGAAATAGAACAACTCAGGACTTCCACTCCAAATACAAAAAGAAATGAAAGAGAATTTGAGAATGATCAATCATTTCAATCTAGTCAACAGAAAAAGTCGATATTTAAGGATAATAACAGTAAGGGACAAAACTACGCCCAGTTCTACGAAGGCTCGGATAATAATCGTCGGACACTAATTGAGAAAAAAGTCGTCACAGACATATCAAAACCAGTCATATCGTCCTCCTCAGAAACCACCACTCAACATAAATAAAGGATATTCAATTCCATTCGAACAGCTAAAAAGAGCGGTAACGTATAACCTACCACGCTTTTATGTTCAATTTGATAGTAGTAGTTTACCATTAATAATAATAGTTTACCGGCTCGTGAATTACCTTCAGCAGTTATAGCAGGAAGTGAAATTTACAAACATTTCATTAAGAATGGTATTAATATGAATAAATTTTCAATGGTCAGCTATGCGGGTAAACAACTCAAAATAGGAGTAAACAATAAAAATGATCTTTATAATTTATATGACAAACAAATGGCCATTATCAATTTCAATAAAAATATTAAAGTGATTAAACCAAAATCAATAGCTGCTCATTTTTCATTAGTAATACGCTATGTGTCGACAAATTTTCCAGCTGCTTTCGTATTTAATGAAATTAAGAAATCAATTACCAATGCTCAAAATTGTAATCCAATCGTATATTCATATGTCAGAACAACAACAGACTATTAGTTTAAAGTTAAGGATTTGGAGGAGTACTATAAAACATTAAATTTAGGGAAATCAGCAGTGGATAATCGTCTACTACCTGTCACTCCATATTTAACCTCAAATAAACTCACGTATTGTTCAAAATGTTATATATTAGGGCATACATCATTAAATTGTAATAGCCATCATCCAAAATGTCGAGTATGTTTAGGCGAGTGTGCTAATAATCATAGAAATGAATGTGAAGGTCAGTTTATATGTGCTCAGTGCGGGGGTAATCATTTTTCATTGGATGGAAATTGTCCTATGGTGCAAAAATACCGTCAAGAATTAAATAAAGAAGTGAAACAAGCCATCCGAAATGGTGTTTTAAACTATAATACACAAGCAAAACAAATAAAAAAGTCGAATGAGTATCAGTATGATGTAAATACTTTTCCACCATTGATTCAAATGGATAGAAATAGTGAAAATAGGTAGAATACACAAAAGATAGATAGTAATAACAAAATCAATAAAAACGAAGTAGCTGATGTTAAAGGAAATTAATAAAAATTAAGAAATGATGAACAAGAAATTAGACAATCAGAAAACAACAATTAGAAGAAATGAAGAAAATACTAGATTAAATAAATTAGTCACATCTGAGTTATTGACAACAATGATTAACCTAATGGGAGAAGTGGTGCTGCCATTATTAATGATAGTGAGGAAAGATGAAGAAGTAATGATTAAAAAAACACAAGGTTATGCAAAAAGATTTATTAGCGTAGTGGAAAATTTACGTCTAAACTATAAATTTGCCATTGAAACGGTATCGGATGAAACAAACAATATAAACTCACCATCACTATCAGAAACAGTTAAAGTGAATCCGAATCCAGCAATAACATCATCAATAATGGTAGTCGAGGATGGAAACGTAACAGCCGAAAAGACAAGTGCTTAGTTACCTAAGTAAGAAGTAAAATGAACCCACTAGCCCTCATTTATTTGCCTTCGTTTCTGAATAACCCATCAGAAATTGCTAAACAAAGAATGATTTATTGTAAATACCCGAAAAAACACTAAGTAATGTAACAGAACTTTTATCGGAGTGGTATTTTAGTAGCACATTAGATAATATTCTGCGGGAATGGGAATCTTTGGGGACAAGAAATAGTCGCTCATTTAAAGTCAACATATTCCCTTAAATTTTCTTGTATTTAATGTACAAGGATGGGATACTCGTTCACTAGAGGTTAGTGGACTTAATTCACAGTAAGGATGTCTCGTTTGTGTTTGCACGGAACCAGGAGAGCTTTGGAAAAGTTTTAAAGTACCAGATTTTGTTACGTTCTACCACGAAGGTATTAATCATAGTGGCGGAGTGTGTGTAATAGTTGGAAAACATATAAAAGCAACAAGAGCCGAAACAAATATTGCAAATACATTAATTGTGGATTTAGTGGGATTATCTGAACACATTCGAGTAATCGGTATTTATTGGCCACACAGCCAAAAACGAGATCTAAATGACCTTTGTCCATATCTAATTAAAATTACGATAATAACCGGAGATTTTAATGCAACAGTAGCGGGTTGGGGAAAGAACCAAATAACTGACACTGGGGATCATAGTCTAGAAAAATGGATTCATAATAATAATTTTTCATTCATCCCAGATACTTTTAACTCTTCTCTTAGATTTGAACGTAACATTGGCCTAACTTTTTCGAATTTTCCGAGAGTTTGGGGTGAAACCTTAAAAGCAGGAACGAGTGATCACTAGCCTCTAGTTTATACATCGACATTTATTAGTTTTGAAATTTCGTCGCAGTTTCCAACAGTTAAATGGAAAGAATACGAAATTATTTTATGTCTCCTTCAAGACTTTTGGATGGCAGAACAAAAAATGTCCTGGCTCCTTGAGTGGTACAAAGACTATACCCGATGACTTTACCCTCGACTATACCCGATATTAGACCAGCGTTAGCTAATCATATACTGGAAAAATTAAAATTGGTTAGAAATTTCGAAACTTGTACTACCGGAATAGATATGAAAGACACTGAATAATAGGTCGACAGTTATCTAAGGAAGTATGAAATTTACAAGTATAGATCCTAGCGGGTGATATGCCTACACTACCTATATATTTTGATTATAAAAAGCCTTATGATATGGTCTGGCATGTTGGTTTAATAGTAAAACTTCTCCGCCTTGGTATTCCTCTAAATTTATTAATATTAGTGCTATACTGGCTCGAAGAGAGAAAAGCTTATGCGGTTTTTGGTAAATTTAAAACAAAATTTGTTTGTGTTAAAAATAGGCCTACCGCAGGGCAGTTCTTTAAGCCCATATTTATTTATAAATTTTCATTCAGATTTAGTAATCAAAGTGGGGGCGAATACAGCTCATATTTTCGCGGACGATCTATCAGTTTTGATAACTCCTATAATAAGTGTTAAACAACAGAAAATGTTAGATTATTTGAGTGAGAAAACCTCTAAGGTGTGTGAGAGTATAAACGAGTACTCCATTCAATGGAAACAACCCCTTAACTTCTCGAAAACTGTTGGACAACCTGAAATTCGCCATTTTCCAGTTGGACATTTTTCTGACTCTTTTTCGATGTTTTCCTTTTTTGCGTTTTCCACCAAACCCCAATGAGCAGGCAGTTTCTATAGCGCTCAGTCTTTTACGTTTGGATCTAGATAAAAGTGTTCAACAGATGCTTTCGAATAAGCGGCTGGTTCTCAATTTTCTCTGGTTGCATACAACACAATGATCACTCCATATAAATCTCCATCATTAACCACCTCAACAGCAATCGTAGTTTTCTCAAGCGTATTAACATTGACGATTATCGTAATACCCTCATTAATCCCACTATACGTTAAAACAAAATTCGATAATACTTCAACGCAAAACCAAAAAGCAGGTAGGCAAATATTTTTATTGTCAGTTAAAAACTAGAACGCCCATTCACTGAACGGT